CTCCGAGCCCCAGCTCCAGGCCCGCTCTCTGCTCCGAGCCCCAGCTCCAGGCCCGCTCTCTGCTCTGAGCCCCAGCTCCAGGCCTGCTCTCTGCTCCGACCCCAGCTCCAGGCCTGCTCTCTGTACTGACTCACCATTGTCCTTGAATGCTTCCATTTTGTCAGCTTGTTCAAGATCCGAAGCAGATTGATACAAGAAAAGAGGTTCCGCCAGCAAAACTGGTTATTGTCGCCCGCTTCCTACAGGGAAAAGCCAGGGTGCATCAAACCTTCATAGCCTTGAGCTGCTGGACCGCTGGGATCCTCATACACACAATCTCTAGACCATGGTCTCTCCATGCTGGCACCAGGGGTCTCTCCTCTCAAAGTGGCCTGGGGGGAGCCCCAGCCCACCTAAGGGTGGGAAGTTAGGTGGGAGAAGAGGTGTGTGCCCTGAAATTCCCTAAGGGGAACACAGAACACGACACTGGGGCAGTGGCTCCACCCCAACCTGGCCCTGGTCCCACAGTGGGGGGAGGGAAGCAAGTTTCCAAAAGAGCTTTGGGCCAGCAGCCCCGAAGATGATGCTCCTGACAAACGAATCCCTATGTCCAAATCTGTCCACACTGCAAGGTCCCTCCCGCTGGCCCTTCTATGCAATGACCGTGCTTGAAAAGTCAGGCACTCGACAGCGACCTCTCTATGAAGACAGCTCTGGCCCAGTGGGAGGGAGATGGGCTCAGCGCCACTCACCCTCGAGCCAAGGGACAGCTGGGCAGGGCTGAGCCACTCACCAGACTCTCGGCGGTCAGCTCTGGCAGCTCGTGCACCACGCAGTGAGGGTAATCCAGGACAGAAATGCTGCAGAGGAGAACCCAACACCCACCGTAAGCAGGGCCTGGGGAGCTGGCTGAGCAGGGTGACAGGGATGGGGCCTGCTCGCCTCACCCCCGTGGAGTAGGAGCGTGAACCTACCTTTCCTGGACCACCCTGGACCCCAGCTATAACATGATGAAAAATTGCGAGGGGCCTCTGTGGCTAGAGATGAGCTTGTAGTTGTGTGAGAGAGGAGACCCAGAGCAGTAAATCTGGGCTTGGGGGAGGCAAACGGCGCCAAGCCTCTCCCAGAAACGGTGTCCAGCTGACAGCTTGCCCCCAGGAGTATCATGGAGGAGCAAGCGCTGTCAGGAACTGCTGGCACCAGCTGGGCGGGGGTGGGGTGAGGATGACACTGGAGCCTAGGATGGGAAGTGCACCATCCGGCAGAGCCAGCCACGGGCTGCGAGACTGGCTAGACTCAGCCTGGGCACAGCGTTCTCCACACGTGGGGCCGTGTCTCACTCATCTCTGTGGCCTGTAGGTGCCGGAGGGGCTCAAGGGCTCAGGCGCCCTGCCGCCTGGCCATACCCACCCCTCCCGATCCCTGGTGCTTATCACCTGTTCTTGGCAGTGATGTAGGACATGATGTTTTGGTTGAAGAACTTGAGGATCAAAGGGATGCAGTTGGCAAATACCAGGTGCTGGGCCATGTACTCAAACTGAAACCAAAATTAAAAACCAAGCATGACCCCTGGGACCACGCCCCTCGACCGCCCAGGACTGCCTGGGAACGGCATGCATGGGTTGGAAAGCCAAGGCCTGAGCCCCAGCCCCCTGGACTTCGGGGAGGCAGACCCTGAAGTACCTGGTAGACGTGGTTCAGCTTAAAGTGCTTGAGCAGCAGCAGCAGAACAGCAGAGATGGCCTTAACAATGACCTCTTTGTGGCGGTTCACATCCACCCCCAGCTTCATGCTCTGCAACACCGTGGTGCTGGAAACACAATTACCAGGGTGAGCCGCACGTCTCCTTCCTCGCAGCAGAGAGATTCCTGAGCCTTCTCTAGACAAAGGTCTAGAGAAAGGTTCCCGGGTCACCAGCCACCCCCTGGATATCCGAAACCAGGCCCAGGGTCCCTTCAACCCTCGTCCCAGGCAGTCTAGCTCAGCCCCAACTCGCTCTCAGCCCACTTGCCGCCTCCACTAACAAAATGAGCTTCTCCTACATGAGACTTCCCCTAAGGCTCTGCCCCCACATGAACTTGCGATTCTCAAAGTGTACGCAGGGCACACCAGTACCGAGATGGCCCCTGGTACGGAGACAAGATGTTTCTGAAGTCAGATAATTTAGGAAGCACTGAGCTAAATTAGTTTCTTAATTCAGGACTTAGGACTTATGCTGTAAATATCTAAAAGACGAAAGGCAGTATTTGGCTGTGAACCTGTCCCAAGGGCCTTACGAAGGCCTCGAGTTCCGTGAAACCACCTCTGCATTCATTCAGCCTTGTCTCCTCCCTCACCTGGCTCAAGGGGCCAGTCACCAGGGAGCGGGTGGTACTGGCAAGCTGGCAGGCAGGAGGCTCCAGGTACAACCTAGACCCTTGTCAAAGCAGCCTGCGACCTATCTACATTCTCCTCACGGAGCTCACCCAATGCGCCAGGGAGGACGAAAGGAAATCAGTCACCCAAGACATCCCCAATATGAGGAGCGCTAGGTCCAGGACAGGCGTGTCCACTGCTGGTCAGGTCCAGCTGCTGCCCGCAGACTGTCCAGCAGCCAGGCTGACACACCCTGGGGAGCCCACGCACACAGCTCTTGGCACGGCCCATCTTGCTGGGGAGGAAAGGACCCCCCCGATTCACTCAGGCTTTCACTCAGTGAACTTTAGGCCAGAATCCAGGCCATACGGATCAAAGCTTAATACTTAATCCACTGTATTTTCTTTTCTCTGAGCCAGAAACACCCTCAACTTAACCTGCAGAGGTGGCGGGCCAGGAAGGAGCAACCAGCCTAGCAAGTGGCGGGACAAAGGGGGAACCCGCCACACTCCGCCCTCTACTCTGCCGCCGGACCTGTCTACTCACAGGAAGGGTACTCACGGCATCTCCTCAGGCAGGACATCTGCCAGGATGTTGATTGAGTCTGTTTTGGCTTTTGAGGTGGGAGCTGCAGCCAGCAGGATCTTCAGCAGTGCAATCTGGGGAAGAGCAGGGCATGCAGACCCGTCTGCGTGCCTGGGGGCCGCACCACCCGAGAGGTGGGTCCTGCAGGGGCCTGGAGCAGGGAGAGGGGGCGGGGGCCTGCCAGGGCAGAGGGCAGGGCGAGGTCGTGGCAGGGACCGGCTGACAGCACCGAGGGCCCCAGAGCACTCACCATGTACTGCGGCAGACTGGGGAGCAAACCTTGGTAGAGGGTCTCTGCAGGGACTTGCTCAACTTCCTCTTCTCCCTTTCAACACAAGAGGCACATGGAACACCCCAGCCCAGACATCCGTCTCCTAGGCCAGCCAGCAGCTGGCTGGGGAGACTGTAAATGGCAACGCATGTACGCGGCCTCTCAGTGCTGGTGACTGCAGCAACACAGACTTTACTCTCACGCAACTCTGTTCTACGAAGGTATTGATAATGACCTCATTTTCCAGGTGAGGAAATCAAAGCGCAAAGAAATGCAGTAACTTGCCTCGTCGCTGCCAACCAGGCGGCGGGCGGGGAATCGGCGGCAGTTGACGGGCACAGGCCTAAGCCCTGCCCTTCCGGCCTAGACATGCCACCGGCGTCAGGAAGTCACCAGGACTTCTGACCACAGGGCTGGGGCAGCTGGGGGGCCCGGCCCAGCACAGTGCCCGAGAACAGACACGGATCCTGTGGCCGGAGAGCGCGACTCACCCCCGAGAGAGGAGAGCGGAGGTACTCCTCCTCCATCTGCGCCTGGACCTCCGCGATCGACGTGTATTTGTGCTGGAGAGAGAGGGAAAGGCGGTGCTGGGCCCCACGGCTCTCACTCACCCCGTCACGCTCCTCACCATCCTCTCAGAAGGCTACGTCACCACAAAGATCCCCGCGCCTAAACATATCTCTGAGTGAGGCCCACCTTTTAAAACCAGAGTAAAAAGCAGATTAGGGAAAGCAAACTTAAAAGCAATGAAGAGATTTTCAGAAGACAAAAATGAGATGGGTCTCTCTGGGGGTGCAGGGGTTAAAGTCTCCACGCTAGCAAGCTATCAGCAGCCGCTGCAGCACGAGTTTGATCCCTGGCCAGGGAGCTGACCCACATGGCACAGCAGACTGTCTCACTCGCTGCTGCCCTCGGCAGTGTATTTCCGTAGATCCACCCGTTCTGCTCCCCACTCTGTCTCTGGCGAATCCTCTCACCCTACTCACCTCTGGCCTGTACCCCAGTTCTTGTACACATAAATAAAAAAAGAAAAACTATAATATGATGAAAACTTGAAGAGCAAAATCAAGTACTCAGTCACCAAGAATCAAGTACTCGAGTACTCCTAAAGCAGGGAGAGCATTTAGCACCACACATTAAAAAAAAATCTACTTCATCAACGTAAACAGCTACACTGCAGACACGCTGTTAGGGGAGATGCCTCCACCTCCCACCCCGCCTCAGTGCTCTCCCCTAAGGGGCACATGCGCGTGCACCACACTCCTGTCTCTCCCCCCCCCTCGCACTCAGCCCTGCCCTGGCCGGCTGCTGAGCAGGGAGGAGGAGCAGGACATTCTCAGCCCAGCTTCCTTCTCTCTTCCCCTTCTCCTCCACCAGGAGGGCCACAGCACCGGCACCACCAGGGGCTGGGAGGCGAGACACTCAGCCCAGCAGGTGAGCTATTAGGGCACCCCTCTTCAGTCGCTCTGTGAGCAATAAAGCTGGCTTTCGATCTGCCTGCCTACCCCTGCAGCTCAAGCTGCCTTAGAACTCGAGCAAGGAAGAGGGAGGCTGCTTACGGGGTCCCTTAAAACGCCAACTGTCACGCAGCATGATCTTTAATAAACGCCCAGCCCCAAACAAAAGCTCAGCTGAAAAAGGAAATCTTACGACGGACTGTTTTAATGGATATTGCCACAGTCCACCCAGGTTCCTCTGGGCAGACAAATCCTAAAAGGCTTCTCCCAAGGGGCTGGTCTCACTTTCCTCACCTGGGACCAAACTAGGCCAAAAGCTCCGAGTCACCTACCTGTTTCAGAGTCTTGATGCTTTCATGGATTGGCCTGGGCAGGCCTACCACAGTGTTCGTGTCGCTGGGGAGAAAGAAGGCCTGTGTTAAGCCCAGACATCCATTCACCTGGTCTCCAAACACCAGAGGCCAGAACGTGAATTCGTTACAGCTCTTCAAAGGGAGCTCAGGTCACCCTCCACCCTCACCTGCCCAGAGTATAGCCTATGAACTTGCTGCGGCTGGATTCGAGGAACATCTCAATGTCTTTCTCTCTGGAAAGAGAAAAGAAATAAAAACAGCAAGATTTTTACTAAGTGTCATTTCATGAGTCAGGTTAATAAAACACAGAATACCCAGAAATGGTGAAACCATTGTGTGTCTTCCACACAATGTTTTCTTTTAGAAAATAAAACAGAAAAAAGCTGAACTCTTCAGATTACTTAATGTCCTTGGATCAATAACCTGAAAATATATTATGTATAACTAGTTTTCTCATACAATTAAAGTGGCATAGCAACTAAAAAGCATAATTTATTTAAATACTAATAAATTTGTCAACAGAATTTCTCAAATATTTAAAATTTTTACAAGTACAGCTATCAGCTACTGATTTTACAGGGGCCCATTTTCCTATTTCAAACAACTAGCCCGTCTTGTGCTCCTGATGACATGTGCTCGTTTCTATCGCCAACGAAAAGTGAGGCCAGGATCGAGAATGTGACTTCACTGTCTGCTAGATGGGGCCTTTTCAAACTAACCCCACTGATCCACATACGGGGACCGTTCCACTTGCTGACTCTCACACAGAGACCTGAAATATCTGAATCAGGGTTCTAAAGACATTCTTCCTTAGCCCATAGGTTTCTGCAAAAACTTGTAACCCCAGGGCGGGAGGGGACCGGCTTGCAGTGTCTTGGTTTCTGTTCTCCTATCACTCTCACAGGCATCACATCTCAGTGAGAGCTGGCCCAAGGCCCCCACACGAGTCCTTCTGAGCAAGGCCGCAAAGTCTACTCCTGGAGACCCAAAGGGCCTGCTCCCAGTGGGCCTCATGTGGTGACTCAGGTTTCAGGAGCAAAGAACATTCCGGAGGTCCGTCTGAGACTAACCTGACCTTGGGAGCCCACGGAAGTCCCTTGGGGCATGTCAGCCTGTCAGTCTGTGGTTGCTGCAGTGGGGGAGGCATCACCTCATCCCGCTCAAGGGGGAATGCCTCCCCCTCCAGACTGTTGTCATCATCATTCTCTTCCTCCTCTTCTCGAGAGTCATCAGCTTTGTAGGGATCACGCTCGTTGAAGGCATCCAAGTTGTCCTGCTTTATCAGGGCCTGAGAATCGAGGGAAGGGAGATCAGGCAGAGCCAAGTGACCAAAAAAAGCAAGGCTGGAGTGGCCATAAGCTAGAAAGGCGCTGAGGAGATGGCCGAGCAGCAGAAAAGCAAGTCAGGGTCCAACGGACACTGTTTGGCCCAGTTCCTCAAAAGTGCCACATCCGAGAAGCCACTACAAATCAGGTTCACCCAGCAGTCACGCCACCACATATGTGCGCCTTGAGATCCTCAGCAGTCGTGTGTGGGGACCTCACCTTGAGCTCCCGGCGGCCCCGTTTCTGCTGCTGCTCAATCAGGTCTGAGGCAGATGCCGGCGGAGAGGCAGCCCTCATGTTGCGGATCACTTTGATGCTGTCTTCGGGCAGTGGGGGGAGGCCCAGGATGGCGCGCTTCTCAGCCTTCATGCTCTGCAGCTCCTCAAAGCCTCCCAGCGTGCACTGCAGCACAGATAGAGCGCAGCACCGGTCAACATGTCCACCAGTGGGCCCAGTCACTGGCTCGAGCTGGAAAGCACCCCTGACACCAGGCCCACGGAATCTCCGTACAAGGGACTACACCCACCCATGGGAGGTTTCAGAGACATCAGCAAGGGCGAGGGGGAAAAGCAGCAAGGGAAGAGAGGTGCTCACTGGCTGAGCGGGTGCAGGTGAACTTAGCTCTGAGGGTATGACATGCTCTTAAAGAAAAGGCAGATTGAACCTTCCCCGTTCCCAGAAACATCAGAGACGCCTCTGTTCTAACAGAGAAGCCATCTCTCAAAGTCAAACTGGGGGTACATTTTGGACAAATATTTTTAAAAAGCTTCCTCTAAACATGGCCCGAAAGCCAGCCCCAGTTGCGTTCAGCCAAAGTGAGGGCCACTCAGTTTCACTCTTTCCGAGCAATTCAGCTTTGCTCTTTGGCTTCAGTGAGGCTTCTCGAGGACAGGATGTCTGCATAAGATAAACCATGCAGAGCTCCAAGGAGACGCTGGGCTCCATAAGCTGACTTGGCGGCAGCCCAACCTGACAGAGGGTGTGAACGGGGAGGAAACAAGGTCCAAGGCAGCTTCCCTTTGTCCCCTGGCTGCTCTTCCTGCTCGGAGGGTCCTGGTCTGCCCAGGGCGGGGCTGCTGGCAGCACTTGCCCAGCCAGAAGGGCCTGTCAGCCCACTCAGGTGCCCACCCCACCCTGGGCCGCCAACAGCCGGCTGCACAGTGTCGAGGAAAGCGGGGACTCGGCGCTCACTCTAGCTTCCTTCAAGTAGCAGCTGCCTTAGGGCCCCAACTACAACATCTCTTATTTTGCCTCAAGTGACTACAAATTTCAGGTTCAAGAGTAGCTGGTCTGAGAGAAGGTGTCATGGCTGCAGAGAACAGGCACCAGGAGTCAGGGATCAACTCTGATTCAGAGGGCAAGTCTTGCCACAGGGGGCGAGCGGGCACTCGGGTCATTTTCTTTAGATGCTGCCGGTGGCTTCTTGGAGTTTTGTTTTTAACCAACCAGGTAGGTATTCACACAATTCAGCATTCCAAAGGATATACAGAAAGTCTCCCTCCCGCCTATGCCCTGGCACCCAAGTTTCCCTTGAGGAGCGGCTCACCAACACTGTCTTCCAAAGAAGCAAGAGAACTTTCTTCATGGGGAAGTGAGGAGCATGGCCGCTGCAAAACTTGGTCACCATCCCGAACAGCATGATGGCAAATGGCTCATTGTTATACAGAGGGGAACCTGCAGCAACACAAAGGCTCAGGACCACGTGGCCGGTGCCCAAAGCCCCCCACCCCAGGCACCCCAGATCCTACCCAGCTCAGCCCTGAAGGTCTGTCGCATTGTCCGCCACTCGGCCTTATCACCCTCACACTCCTGGTGAACAGTCTCCACGATCAGGTACATGATGTTGAGCAGGACCCTGGGGACAAGAAAGTTCAAGATGGAGCAGGATAGCAGGTTGAGGGGCACCCTCGCCCCCCTCACATCCCAGCTAACATGGGAAACACCTGTGCAGACAGGTTGGCTGGGGGCCGGGGGTGGGCCTGAAACCCAGAGAGAACTCTGAACCCCACAGAGCACCCTCCTAGTGCCTTCTCCGCGACCCCAGGTGGCTGAAGCCAGGACGGATCTTACTCCTTTGCCCCCCAGGGTCTAGGGAAGTGCTCAAAGTCGGTGCGTAACAAATGGCTGCCAGATGAAAGAATAGGAACAAGAATGGCCATGAGCATTTACTGTCCAAAGTTTCCTGGAATGCAAAACACAGGGGTGGGGGTGGGCCCTGCAAGTGGGTGCTGATCGGACAAAGAAGGGAGAGGAGGGTTCGTGTGAGAACATATACTGTTTACCAGGATGGCGTGGAAGCAGGACTGAAGAGGGTGGGACTCGGGGACCCTAGCTACACCGTCTGGAGACTTCCAACTCAGACAGACATTACTCCTCACCAAGGTGGAAAGGTGACCTCTCGTAGCTGCCCCGTCTCCTATGCAGTCACAGGATGTAGTGAGGGGTCAGGCTAACCCTAGTGATGTGTGCAAGAGAAGGTGGGACCCGAAGAGCACGCTGTGGCTCCAAATACAAAGTGACCCAACACTGACTTCTCAGGAGCGGGACGGGCAGGAAGCTACACCTCACTGTGGCTCCAAGTGGCTGACCCTGGCCTGCGCTGGGCGTCTCCAGCCCAAGCCCCCCCCTAGGCCTTCAGCAGGGCCTCTGCACACTGAAACACCAGACCTGCAGCGCAGGGCACAGCGTGCGCGGAGGGGACCCACGGGGGAGGAAAGCCAAAGACCCCTTCCACGCCCTGCTCTGCTCTCGCACTGAAGCTCAGGGACCCTGGCTCGCGGCTCGCCTCACCTCAGGTCTGTGCTGTCGGCCAGGGAGATGGCAGGCTTCCGCACCGCACTGCTGCAGGCAGCACTGTTGCTGCAAGAGAGAGTGGAGTCAGTGCCTCCCTCGGAAGGAGGTGCGCCACCGTCCCCACGAGCACCGTCCCCACGGCGCACGGGGGAGCTTACCCTGCACGAGTGGCCACAGACTCGGGTTAAGAACTCAGGCCCCAGACAGACTGCCAGGCTTGGAATCCTGGCTCCAGCACTCACTAGTCACGTGGCCTTGGGCAAGGTACTTAACTGCTCTGTGCCTCTCTTCCTTATCTGCAGATGGGGCTGGCAGCAGTATCTACGCCGTGAACACGGATCAGCACATCTGAGCACTCAAACACCGTCCGAGCACTCGGTGCGTCTCAGTTATTATCGCCGACGGTTACCCACAGACAAGCAAAAGCCTGACTGTGCACTGGAAAAAGCCAGCGGTGACACAGGCTAGCGCAGGCTTTGGCTGGGCCCGTAAGTCAGACTTGTGCCTGGCGCCCGCAGCAGTGTGACACACTGTCGAGTCCGCAGAGTTCAAAGCGAGGCCGTCCTCCTGAGCGCACCGTGCCCGGCCAGGACTCGCACCATCGGGGGTGATATCCCTGGACAGCAAGCTGCTAGCTTCAACATTTGGGGGAGCCACTCCCCAATGACTCAACCCACCTGGTCAGAACAGAACCCGAGAGCAGACCCCACGCCCCATGTTACCTACTGAACTCTGACTGACCAGATGGTTCTACAATTCTGTCCCCGAGTCCCTGGGTCACCTCCCTACTCCAGCCCCGCAGAAGAACTCACTCTATCTCCATGTTCAGAAGCTCCACCAGCGCGTTGAACGTGCCCACCTCCAGGAGCAGGAAGACGTTGTAGCGCACCCAGGACTGCACCTCGGCCTCGGAGCTGCACTCCCCAAAGGTGCCTGCAAACGAAGGCACACCATGGAGCCCCTTCGCCATGCGACGGCACGGCCACCAGAGGAGGTGCCGAGGGCCTCCGAGGGGTCTGCTCCGCACCTTGGGCAACGTAGAGAATTGCTCGAGCCACCCTGAGCCTCTTCTCCCGGGCAGTGACTTCCAAGCCATCCAGCAGCCTCATGGCGTGGGTACGGTGATGGTTGGTGTCCAGCTCAGTCCACTTCTTGTCTGTCACTGCAGGGTGAAAGACCAGTGGCACTGCACTTCCCAAAACCCCTCACAAGGGACTACACACCAGACCATAGCAACCCATCAAATTCAGAACCACCACAGTCTACAAAGCTCAGAAAAGTTACTCTCTCTGTAAGAGGAAAGGTCACCCTGCCACTCTACGAAACTGAATTACAGCTTTAATCACTGAAAAGCTACCGCTAGAGTACCCGCCGCCCACTGAAAATGTCACATCCAGCCTTAAACAATTCCGGTTCAGCAGGGTTCGCAGGCCGCTCCAGGAGAGCTTCGCTCATTCAGAGGACTAGAGCAGCGCTGCAACTCTCACGATGCAGGCTGAAAAGGAACCCAGAACGGGGGAATCCTCTCACCGTGGATCCGGAAGTCCTCCTCAAAGCATTTTCGATTCATCAGGAATTCTGGCCCTTCCGTGTAGCTGTAAAGCTCTGTCAAGGACAAAGTGTCATCACTGTCAGTTCCCTTCCACAGCCAGCCTCACATGCCGCAGAGAAGGGCCCGACTCTTCCCTCGTCACAGTGACTTCCAGACCAGGCTGTACTTACTACGAGGGTACTAGGGCACTGGTGCGCACCACTCAATGCCAGTGAACCCCACCGAGCCCCGCCATGCGCACAGGCGCCTCTCGCAGCTGCCGCCTCCCCGTTAGGGCCGTGCCGCGGCGGCCTGGGGACAGCACAGTGAGCCACAGTGGCAGCCGCAGATGCAGACAGTTGCGAGCACACTGGCTGGTGTCCCGCGGGCTCCATACTCGAGGAGACCACGATCGGGGCAGGTTGTAGCCAGTTAGGAGACGCGCGGCTTGGATCTAAGAGTTAAGATGTCCTCTATTTCAGGACAAACTCGAGGGAAATAAATGAACTTCAAAATGACATTCTAAGTGTGCTTAGAGATCAACAGGGGAGAAGCACCCCAACCTTACAGGAAGGCCTGTGTTTGCCTTATGGCCTTTACCAGAGAGCTCTGCAGCCCACTTGTCTGCGTCAGCGTACTCAAACTCGAGGTCTGGCGACTCGGAATAGCCCTGTTGAGAAAAGGAGACGCAAAGATCACAGCACGCGCCTCCAAGGAAGAAACAGCCTCCGAGCGCTGCTGTTCCGGCACAGTCTCCGCTCTTCTGCAGCCGGGGCCCGGTGTCTGTCTCCTTAGCTGGCTCAGGGCTCCCGATTAAGCCTTCTCGGAGCACCTTATACTTTCCCCTTACTGCACGTCTCATAACTTAGTTATATGCTGGCACATGTACGTGTACAGTGTCTGCCTCTTCTCCAAAGGCTGTGAGTTCTTCAAGAGAAGAAAATTTTGCTCACTAATAACTTCACGACGCCCAGCATAGTACTTGGCATGACTCAACAAAGAGATGAATAATTTATTCTCAAATAAATACTTTCTGAATGAGGGAACACAAGGCTTCCACACATTCAATGTAGTGAGTGATCCTTCCACATGGTGCGAAGATTCTGGAAGCCTCACTTTGTGGCTAGTGAGCTATCAACAGCTCAGGACAAAATGAGCACTGACACCCTCAACTTTCTACCCTCTCAAATTTCAGAGAGAACTGACAGATGGGCAGGCGGCAAAGCAGATCGGCTCCCCTCCCACACAGAGATGCGTGACAGAGAGAATCTGTAACTGCTGGGGACAGGTGACCACGGAGACGCACCACCTTGGAGGCCTTGAACTGGGAAGAGACATGTGGAGAGACAGATGAAGTCCTTAGGCTTAATTACTTGGGAAGACAAAGATCACCGACAGAAGAACATGACACACACACCTAAACTGAGTAATATGAAACACTCTGCACAGCCAGCAGAAGGTCCACTTTCACAAGCTACCAAGCCTCAGTTGCTTCGTTCATGGAATGGGGAGGGAGGTGTCTGAGAGAATCTACCCTGATGATTTCTAGGGACTCATCAGAATTACGGGGCGCACAGTGGACTTCATCAAATGCCAGCCTCCCTGTCCTCCATGCCCGGCTCAGGCTCCCAGCCTACAGCCTACAGACTTCAGCTGTGGCTAAAGACGGAGCTAAGCACAGCATCAGCTTCTCAAAAAAAGCCAATCTAGACAGGTCTCTCAGCTGAAACGTGTTCCAGGACTGACCTTCCTAGTGTTGAGTTTCTATGTAAACTGAAGGGTAGAAAGAAATCTAAAGGCACCAAAAGATATTTATTTGACCATTCGTGGTGACTTAGGAACATTTAAAGCCATTTTTAACTAAATGCTCTCTTATCACTAAGGTTAGCTCATGCTCCCTTCATAATGCCCCACACCTGAAAAAGTATCATCACCCACCAGAAAAAGCTCCGAAAAGGTAAGTTTTGTTATTTTTCCAGACAATTCACTCCAAGTTCAAAGTATGTCTATTTCCACCTGCCAGATTCTCATCCAAGATTTGTACTTGCCAACAAAAAACAAAAGCTTGATGTCACACATCCAAAGATGGACGGTACATCGCTCCTGGCAACGACTTGGTACACATTATACCTGGCCAGGAAGGGACGGGCTCTATCTAGTCAAGCCCCTGGCAGGTGACCCAGCACATCTGACTCAGGTGAAGGGAACCCTTCTAGTGAGTGATCTGGGAACCTGCTGATTAAGACGCCCGAAAACGCGGCTGCGACAACGTGTGTGGCTTCATTCATAAATTCGACAGTGGAAGGGAGTGGGAGGAATTCTTTAACTCCCGGTGAGACGACTAGCGTCTCCGGGGCCAACAGCCGACGAGCATGAGAGAGGGGGGATGCTGTGCCCTGATGCCTGCTTAAATAGAATTCCGATGGGACGCAAATGGCTCCCGAAACACCTGGCACTGTCAAACGCCGGCAGGAACCCGCGGTGACTAAGGTCACAGCGAACAGGGAACGTCTCCCCCGCACCTACGCTCGCCAGCTGGGGCGCGGAGTGGTGCCGGCGACAAAGAGCCTCGCCCGGCTCGGAACTGCGTCCGAACACTCGCCGGCCCCTTCCCCGCCCGCACGCGCCGGACCCGCGCTGCGCGACCCTCAGGACCAGAGGCCAGGGGGACTCGGGGTCCTGGGTGCTAGTCCCGGGTGCCCCCGGCACAGACCTCGCTGAGTGCATCCCCAGCCTGGGCGGGGTGCGGGTTCTCCAGGGGTGCGGCCGAGCCCACAGCGCTGGCCCTCGAGGAGCAAGCGAGCCGACGCCGGCTCGGGAGGCGCCCGGAGCGGGGGAGC